CCTCCACCACCTCCACCACCTCCACCACCTCCACCACCTCCACCACCACCTCCAGTACCACCACCATGTCCATTACCATCACCACCACCTCCATTACCACCACCACCTCCATTACCACCACCACCTCCATTACCATCACCAGCACCACCACCACCACCTCCATTACCATCACCACCACCTCCATTACCATCACCACTGCCTCCATTACCAGCACCACCACTGCCTCAGTTACCACCATCGCATGGCAGATTAAAATCCAAACTCGGTATCTTAGCTGATGGGACTCCCTCCTTCACTTGCTCCATGACAGCAGAGAGCTGCAGGAGGGGGCATGACAGTGAGGGTGGAGGAAAGATGGATAGCACTGGTTTCCCGAGCTTTCCGAGCAGCAGTCCTTCTGAATTGTGGTCAGAAGTACCCACTGTGATTTAAAGTTGGAGTCCCTGGGTGGCACAGACAGTTACTAAGCACTCAACCAGTAACCAAAATATTAGCGGTTTGAGTCTACCCAGAGGTAGCTCGGAAGAAAGGCCTGGCGATCTGTTTCTGAAAAGTTACAGCCCTGAAAACCTTATGAAGCATGGTTCTACTGTGACACACATGGGGTCACCATGAGTTGGAGTTGACTTGATGGCAACTGATTTATTTAAAACTAAAAAGGTAAAATAGGGATTCAGCGTGTTGGAAGTGTAGCATCTAGTCCAGGAAGTAAAAGAAAAAAAGAAAATTTGGAAATTTTATTACCCTTCAAACCAATAAATGTGAGCTATATCTTCTGTGCGCCCAGCCCTCTTGTCTTCAGTACCTCTTACTGTGTGCAGTCCCTTGAGAGTCTTTTTTTTTAAATTATATTTTATTGTGTTTTCAGTGAGAGTTTACATAGCAGTTTAGGTTTCCATTCGACAGTGTCTACACAGGTTTTTCAGTGATGTTGGTTACATTCTTCACACTGCGGGAACATTCCTCATTGTTCCTGTTCTGCTTGGTCCCTGGGAGACACGTTTATGACAGTCCGCTCTCGGCCGAGTTCCATGCTAGGCCCTCAGAGTGGCACCTCCTGTCATCTTAACTGTTCAGGCCAAAAAAAAAAAAAAAAACCCATCTCTTTACCTCACCCCCACCACATCCAGTCCATCGGCAAGTCACTTTTCGTCTGATTTCAAAACACATCACAAAGGCATCCATTTCCCTTCACCTCTGCTGCACCCCAGGGGTCTAAGCTGCAGGTGTCTTGCTCCCGGTGCATTGCAGAGGCCTCCTGTCTTCCTGCTGCGCCCTTGCCTGCCGACAGTCTGCTGCAAAACGAGCTTTTAGAAATAGAAAAATACCCTGTTGATTCTTTGCTCAGAGCCTTCAGTGCCTTCCCATCACACTTAAAATAAATCTGATTCCTTCCCATGGCCCCCCAGACCCTACACGGTCTGCCTCGTTCCTACCTCTCTGGTCTCATCTGTTACCTGGCAGCCCCCTGCCCCCCGACTCACTGCACCCCAGCTACAGTGACTTTCCGCTGCAGCTTGCAGCACGCCTGACTCTTACCCACAGACCAGCACTGCGCTGGAGCCCACATATGTGGCTATCTGTGCGCAGGCGTACACGTGTCTTTAGGGGAGACACATACAGCAGAGGCATTGCTGGGTCAACGGTTGTCACCATTTGAATTTTGATACATGCTGGCAGTGGCACTGTAAAAAGCTTCCCAGCTGACGGTCCCCTCGCTTGTGGGTGGGTATCTATCCCCACATTCTCCCACCAACGCTCTACGTCTCTGCCATTTTATTTTTGGGAAAGAAGATAGCTCGTTTTATTTATGTCCCTTTTCCTGCATCTCAGTAGCCTTTTCAGATATTGGCCTTTTGTATTTATTTTTCTGGAAATCGCCTGTTTCTTTTCTTAGCACAATATATTGGTTTTTTGTTTGTTTTACTGATTTTTAGAAACTTGTTACATATTTTTGACACTAATCTCTTGTCCGTTATATGTGTTGTAAATGTTTTTCATCCAATGCCTTTTACTTGTCTGTTAAGTTTGATTATGGTGTCTTTATCATGTTTGCATTAAATACTCATATTTGGTCAAATCTACCAGTATTTTTCTCTCTGGATTCTACACTGCCCTCTTAGGAAGTCATCCTCACGCTAAGAATATGAAAATATCCACCTATATTTTCTTCTAATACTTCTGTATGGTTTTTGTATGGTTCATATGTATTTAATCCATTTGGAATTTGTTCTTGCATAGATTATGTAGTAGAAACTAACTACCTTGTTTTCCTAAATGTACGGTTGGCTGTTCTGATACCGCTTTTTTAGCCAATGGGAACAGGATTTGAAATACCATCCTACCTTATGCCAAGTTTACTCCCTTCTTCCGTCTCACTAAGCATTTAGATTGCGTAACTGCTATGGCTGTTGTTCTTCCAGCAAGGTCTAGTAAAGTTTGACTTGATCCAGAAGGCAGGGGAGAGCCCCTGTAAACTCATAAGCAGGGAACCAACATGGTGGATGGCATGTCGTAAAACACTGAGAGCCGTGTAAGCTCAGGTGACCAGAGGGGCAAGAGGACCTGGTTAAACTCCAGGCTGTGGGACCCACAGTGCTCAGCATGCGCTGGCTGGGCTCAGAGCAAACTGAAGTGGGGACATTGTGTGCAGGGTAGCAGGAGTGGGGTGGTGGCAGGAAGCGGGAAGGCGGCCCCTCTGACTGCCGCTCAGTCCTCTGACCCCCTGGCCAGTCTGGCTTCTGGCCTCCGCTTCAGTTCCCAGGCTCTTGACCTCCTTAAACACGAGTTCTTTGAACTCATTGCCTTGCTCATTTCTGGAACTCCATCTGTTTGAGGCTGAGCAGGAAATGGGTTGAAGGGGCCAGGCAGGCCCTCTCCCCTTGCCGCCCTCCTGCTGACCTTGGCACTTGGGCCTTGCCTTGGCTGTGAGCTGGTCGGCTCCCCTCAGAAGGCAGGCCGCTGCTTCCCGAGGGGGACATGCTTCTGTGGACTTCTGGACACGGCCGTGTTGCCCTGAGATATTCTGGCCATGGTGCTTGTCTGACCTGAAGGTCGGTGACCTGAGGTTATCAAAGCCCTTCAGATTATGGATACCACATGAATTTTAGCCCGTCACTGAGGGTGAGGGAGAGTTTCCTGGGAACGTTATGTTTTTTGTAGACTAGGATAACGAGGTGGTAGATAATTTCACAGCAGCAAGAGAAGACTTTGTTCCTGGTCTGCTTAGTTTAGGGGCCTTGTCTGTATGCCTGCTGGGTAGACAGGACCAACCCTGCGAGGTGCAAGCACCATTGTGGACATGTAGAGAAGACATTTGGGTGGAAGTGTGACCAGCATAGACTTCTGTTGCAGAACCCATGGACTCTTTGGTCCTGGTACTCATGCTGGCTTGTAGTGTACAGAGAAAGACCCACCCAGATACCCCAGGATCCCGGGAGATTCTGCTAATACACGCATCTCGGGCAAAGACCTGTGCTGTTTACTAATGGGATCCCACAAACATGATTTAGGCAGTGGGGGCCCTTGGCTTGTGGAGAAGCTTGCATTTATGTGTGTGACATTTGTGTGGGTTGTTCCTGGGTGGTGGGGAGCTGCGCTTGGATAACGTTTTCCTGGCACTTGTGAACAGCGCCAAAGGGCACGACCTTGTCTGTAGTGAACAGAAAAAGCCAAGCACAGGGGATTTTTAGAAGACACCATTTCCCTGACCCCTGTCCCCAGCCCCTGAGGGCTGCAGGCTCAGACTCAGTTTATTTAATTTAACTGAAGGGGCAGAGGCATTAACTCTGAGAGGAGATTTAAAAAAAAGAGCTATTGGTTTTCAAGGTTTTTGAGGAGAGGGATTTCTTTGTCTGCCCCTCTTTGTAATGTTTGAGAGAAGAGATGCAGGGACATACTGGACATACATGTATGATTTTTATACTGGATCAATCTAGATCAGGAGCTGGTGGGTCAGTGGTAGAATTCTCGCCTTCCGTGTGGGACTCCCAGGTTCGATTCCTGGCCAGTGCACCTCATGCACAGCCACCACCTGTCTGTCAGTGGAGGCTTGTGTGTTGCTATGATGCTGAACAGATTTCAGTGGAGTTTCCAGACTAAAACAGACTAGGAAGAAAGGCCTGGCAGTCTTCCAAAAAATCAGCCAGTGAAACCCTGTGGATGACAGTGGTCCAATCCACATGATGGGAATGGTGCAAGACCAGGGCACGTTTCATTCCGTTGGGGTCGCCATGAGTCGGGGCTGGCTGGGTGGCAGCTAACAACAGCAGCAAGCCAGGTCCGAGAGCGGCGTATCAACCGCCCCGTGTCCCGAAGAGCCTTTCCAGGCCTGTGTGGATGCTCGCAGCTTTGGCTTATAAAGCGCTGCAGATGGAGAAAGCTCTATCCTATGTATAGAACCAGTTCTGAGGCTGTCGCTCATGGTGTTCCACGCCCTTTGTGTTTGCACGTTGATTGCAAATTCCGTTCCCAGCTCAAGGCCAGGAAAACGTCTCTCCTGGGATGGCCGGCTCAAGTGCCTTCCTCACAGCCTTCTAGAGCTCGCACAGCCCCTTACGTAGAACAGATGAGTGTAAGAGGAGTGAATGAATGAGTGCACCGCCATGTTTTCCCTGAGAAGAGTTCTGGGGGCAGAAAGTGATAGATTTTTATAAAACAGCGGTACACCTTTTAGAATCCCTGGCTTATCAGCAGCTTCCTTCACAGGGGGTAGGGTCTTGGAACCTTCAAATGCAGCCTTCATCAGCGGTCATTCCTGGGCCACCCCTTCCTGAATTATCCAAAGTAGATTGTTCAGGCGGAATCCTGTGGCTTTTCTCCAGCCTGTGCTCATACCCCGCTCTTTGGTTAGGGTTCTTCCCCCAGACTGACCACAGAATGCATGCTGTTCGGAGCATTGTCCCGCCGCTGTCACTGCCAGCAGAGTCTTGCCTTCTTTCCCGCATGCTCTCTGCCCTTCTCCCTCATCTTCTCTTTACTTGTTTTTGGCTTTTGCAGGCACTTGTGCCCTGGGAATTCAGCTGTGACTTTATGAATTGTCCTCAGAACCTCAGAATTTTTGTGACAGGATCTAGCTTCCAGGGACTTATCAGAAACCACAGCTCATGACAGTATGTGAAGCCAGCTCTGCCTGGAAAGATCTGATTCTGAAATAGAGCAATGTGTGGGGGACCCTTGGGCCACAGGAGGGCTTGCTGTGTTCAGTGACAAGAGGCACACCCCACATGCTGCCCTGACCTCCAGCGAGCCTGTGTGACCTGCCCCTGTGGAGCTTTATGCACAGCTGAAGGGTCTTCTGTTAGAAATTGTGTTCATTTTAGGCCTTTTGGATAGAAATTGTCCTAAAATGTCATGTACATGTCTGTGCTGCTTTACCCGACAGTGTCCTACAGAGGGACTTTACTTACCTCTGTGTCTATCACTACCTCAAATACGTAGCAGTAGGCATGCAATAAATATTGTTGAGTGAAAAATTAATAGTTTTGTTTTAAGAATTACTTTTATGATCTCATTGCAGTTTACTTTAGAAAATACAGATAAGCAAAGGGAAGACTTTCCTATAATCCTGTCACCCAGTACAAAAAAAATAAACATCTTGGGGCATATCCTCCTGGTGCCTGTCTGCCTGGATGTTTGTTTTCTTTTATAAAACATGGTCACAGAGTGCGTATGGATTGGCGCATCCTTTTCTTTTACAAAACATGGTCATAGAGTGCGTATGGATTGGCGCATCCTTTTTCACTCAATAGCATGTTCTGACTGTTGCTCAAGCCCATTGGATCATCTTCTGTAGTATTTTTAATGTTTCCTGAAATTCTGTTGAATGGATGTTCCATGATTTACACTCCCTCTTGTTAGACATTTAAGTCATTTCCAGCTTTTATTACCACGGTTATTTTGTATCTTCATGTGGGTAAAACCATGCAGGTATCCATGCAGACGTCCTTGGGCAGTTGAATCATGTTGTGCTCTTAGAATTGTCACCGGGATTGGTCACTGGATGGTTTTATAGCACCAGCATGCTCTCAGCCCTGTTGAGGGATGCAGGACCATCGCCTCTAAGCTGAGTGCTGAAGACTGCTGTGTCTTTTGTGTTCTTGTGTTTGCTTTTACGAGTAGTAGTACTGTGCTGCCTGTGGTCCCTTCACCTTCCAGTCTTTGTCCTTCCTTTAGTTGACCTCTCTGTTCTTTTGTTTCTGTTGTTCCAAGTTTGCAGTGGGCTGTAGTGGTCAATAAACCAAGCTTTAGAACTATTCCTTAGAAGAGGGTCTCGAGTGAGGACTGGAGAGCATATCTTTGGTTTATTAGTGTAAGCTTTTTTTTTTAAATTGTGATTTTATGTATACAGACATACATAACATCTGCCATTTTAACCATTAAAAAAATAATACTGTGTTTGGTGAAGGTTTATACAGTAGGTTAGGTTCCCATTCAACAATTTCTACACAAATTGTTCAGTGACGTTGGGTACATTCTTCACAACGCATGGACATTCTCATTATTTCCATTCTGGTTGTTCTGTTTCCGTTAATCTAGCTTCCCTGCCCCTTTGTATTCTCACCTTTGTTATAAAGTAATTCGTGACCATTTAGTCTCATATCTTAAAGGAGCATAGTACTTAAATGGGTAATATATGTATGTATTTTTTGAGCCAATGTTATTATCTACAAGGTGACCTCGGGTTAGTTTTGGTTCAAGGTTTGAAAAGTATCTCAGGGCCGTATTCTCAGGGAGTCCTTCAGTCTCAATCAGTCCAGTACGTCTATTTTTTTAAAAAGGAATGTGAGGTTCTATTGCACGTTTTTCTCCCATTCTATCAGGGTCCAATTTTCCTCCGTGGCGCTGATCAGAACAGCTGGTAGTGGTTCATTTTAACCATTTTTCTGTGTAAAATGCAGCGCATCAATTACATCTGCAGTGTGTGCCACTGTCACCACTGTCTGTTCCCAAACTTTTCATCACCCCAAAAGAAACTCTGCACCCATTAAACAGTCCCTCCCCAGTCCCCCCTCTTCCCAGCTGCTGGTAACTTCTGATCTGCCTTCTGTCTCTATGAGTTGTCTGTTCTGGGTATTTCGGGTGAGTGGGATTATACAGTATCTGCCCTTTCGTGTCTGGCTTGTTTCACTCAGCATACTATTTTCAGGGTCCACCCATGTCGTGGTCTGGATCAGAACTCCATTCCTTTTTATGACTCAGTAGTGTTCCATTGTGAGTGTGAGGGTTTTGCAAAGCGAATTTTGGACACTGTATCCTTGGGCTGCGTTTCAGGAAGATGGAGCTGCCCAGTGGTGGGACTGGAGTCCCGGCTAGGTGAGGGGTTACTGTCTACCATGGGCATGGTTCCCAGAAATGCTGTGTTGGAGGATAATGTCAGACGTTTTCCATTCCTTGTTTCATCCTGGTGGAAATGTGTGCAGCCTCACCAGTGGATAGGACAGGGACCTGGTGTGTGACTCACTCTGTCACCTTGTTTGGTGCCTTTGCCTCTTCAGTCCTAAGATTTCCATGTGTACAGTAGATTCCGTAATGTCATGGAATCTGGTCATGTATTTTTTTTTTTTTTTGGCTGAGCTGGAAAAGTCCTTGGTGGAGTATCTCTAATTCTGAGTTCTGCTGTGCTGTGACTGTGGTTCTTGTGCACCCTCTGCCCCTCTTCAGTGCTCTTTCCTGTAACTTGGATTTCTTGTTGGTAGGAGCTGGTGGTGATGGGTGCCCCAGGGTCATTCTATTGGGCTGGGACGGTCAAGGTGCTGAACCTTACAGACAACACCTATTTCAAACTGAACGACGAGGTGATCATGAACAGGCGGTACACTTACCTGGGTGAGTACCTTGGGGAGATGACAGGTAAGAAGGGGAATGGGAGAGGTTACTACCCAGTTCGTGAATTGCTGTTTTACTGGTGGAAAGAAGAGTTGGTTGGCTTTTTCATCTACTGTTGTAATTAGTTACAGTTTTAACCATGACGTCTTAACTTCTAGCCCCACACACAGAAGGTAGAGAGGGAAAAAAACCAAGGGGGCCAAATCAGACTGTGTGATTTGAAAAGCCAACATTTGACCCTCCAGGGAAGCAAACATTTTATTTTTTTATTTTTTAGCAATTACTCAGATTCAGATGGTCAGATGCAAAATGATTACAATTGAATCCTAATTTTCCATGAGCATCCCTTTCCCTTTGGAGGAAGTTTCTGCTTCCTGGTTGCAAATAGATATAATAGGAACCAGAAATTATCATGACAGAGGGCAACCTAAGCTGAAGTTTAATTAAAGACTAAGAAAAGTTTCTCTTATTTTCTCAACTCTTTTAATCTTCTGGGAAGAAGGTAATCACAATTTAGTTTAGCAGCCAGCAGGCAAGGATGATGCCAGGACAAGGCCATTTCTATTTAGGAGTAGAGATAGGCTGTCTTTTCTTGTGTAGATGACAATTACAAGACTCTTTTCTTTAATCCATGCCCTAAATGCTATAATTCAGAACTGAAAATGAAGCTAAATTCAGCGAGGCCTAATGATGAGAAAGAGACATCGATGGTTCCGTGGTAAATTTATCACCTTCCATGCAGGAGACCCAGGTTCAATTCCTGGCCAGTGCACCTTACGCACAGCCACCACCTGTCTGTCACTGGAGGGTTGTGTGTTGCTATGATGCTGAACAGATTTCAGTAGAGCTTCCAGATGAAGGTGGACTAAGAAAGCCCTGGCAATCGACTTCCAAAAATCAGCAAAAGAAAATCCTATAGATCACCGTGGGCCTATCTGCAACCAGGCATGAGGATGACGCAGGACCGGGCGGTGCTTCATTCCGTTGTGCGTGGGGTTGCCATGAGTTGGGGGATGACGTGACGACAGCTGACAACAACCACAACCACAGCAACAACAATGTTGAGAAAACAGTACACCATCACTCTCCTTATACATGATTTAAATTATAATAAATAGTTATATTCTATCACTTAAAAATATAATTTCCTTGAATAATACTAGAGAAATATTTACTTCCATGTCAGGGGAAGCCACTGACCTTTTGCATAGAGATTCACTGGGAATTTCTGACTCACTTTTCCCCGCTACACGTTTTTGGCTCAGTAGCACAGACCCAGTGATATTTTTACACTGAGGCTTTGGGGTGTCTGCTGCCCTGCTTTCTCAGCTCCTTATGCTTTTATTTAATATTTAATCTATGTCAGACCCCTGGTGGTGCAGTGGTTAAGAGCTATGGCTGCTAACCAACATGTTGGCAGTTCGACTCCACCAGCTGCTCCTTGGAAACCCTATGGGGCAGATCTACTCTGCCCTGTGGGGTCGCTGAGTCAGAATCGACTTGACAGCAATAGGGTTAATCTGTGCTAGGCTCTGTATCTTATTTCTTTTAGTTCTTGAAACAACTTAATGAGGTAGCTATCATCATCATCATCATCATCATCATCATCATCATCATCATCATCATCATCACTATCATCACTACTTTATAGGTAAAGAGACTGATGTACGAAGAAGTTATATAACTTGTCAAGGTCACATGGCTTGTAAAGTTGGGCTTGCAAGCTATGATTTCGGAGCTGAGTGCAGATGCTGAGCTGCCTCACCTGTGTGTGGCTGAGATGCTCCCCTCACTGGTGGTGACCCCTCAGTAGGCTAGGAGCACCTCGAAGATGGAGAGATTGTCTCACATTCCAAGACTTGGTAGAGTGCCTGGTGCATAATGGGGACTCAGCACATTATTACTGAATTAGAGAATGAAGGGAAGGCAGAAGAGAACCCAGTGTGGACAATGGTTTTAGGGTCTAGGATAGGTCTTTGGACCTTAGGGCCCATGGTTTCTCCCTGTATACAAAATGGAGGCCCTTATCTGCTGCAAGGATTAGCGAGGACGATTTGAGGCTTTGATATTACTCATAATGCTTGTAGGCAATATGAGCCCCTGTCTGAAAGAAATCAGTCCCGTGATGAATAAGAATTGACCACAACATGATGTCACCACAAAACTCAAACTTCTTATAGGCACGGCCATTAGGGTGATGGCAAGGTTGGGGAATGTATGACAGCCTTACAGGGTTTTCAGGGGTCCCTGGGCGGTGCAGATAGTTAACATGTCCACTGCTAACCGAAAGGCTGGCACTTTGAGACGACCCAGCAGCTGCTTAAAAGGCAGGCCTGGCAATCTACTTCTGGAAAAAAAAAAAAAACCACGCCACTGAAAACCCTATGGAGCACAATTCTCCTCTGACCCACATGGCATCGCCATGAGTTAGAATCAACTCGACAGCAGCTATATTTTTGGCAGGGTTTCTGCTGATCAGAGGAGAACTTTCAGTCTGGTAGCAAGGCTCTCAGAAAGCAGGAGACATTCCAACTAAGAACATACAACCTTTCCCTTTGTTTCGTTTCTAGATTCTTCTTGCATCTTGGTTCTTTGACCAACCATCCATCCATCTGTCCGTCCATCCACCCATCCATTCATCCATCCATCAATCCATCCATCCTCCATTCATCCTTCCATCCATCCATCCATCCACCCATCATCCACCCATCTGTTCATCCATCCATCCATCCATCATCTATCCATCCATCCACTCATCCATCCATCTATCCATCCTCCATCCACCCATCTATCCATCCTTCATCCATCCATCTATTCATCCTCCATCCATCCATCTATCCATCCACCATCCATCCCTTCATCCATCCATCTGTCCGTCCTCCATCCATCCATCCACTATCAGCTTCTTTCTTAGGGGGGTGTATGGCATAATGGTTAACAGCAGGGGCTTTGGAGACACACAGATTGGATTTCAATCTTACTGTGTGATCTTGGGCGTGTTGTTTAACCACCTTTAGTCCCAGTTTCCACATGGAAGTAATAATGGGAAATGGAAGTAAAAAGGAAGTAATCATAATAATACCTTCCTCATAGATCTGTGAGGTTAAAAGAGAAAATGACACCCAAAGACATACACAAAAATATCTGTAGCAGCTTTATTCATAACAAGCGCAAACTGGAAACAACCCAAATGCCCAACAACAGGAGAATAAATAAAGATATTATGCTATATTCACGCAATGGAACACTGCTCAGCAATAGGAAGAAATGAGCTACTACTCAACAACATGGATGAATGTCTCACATGTTATCTTGAGTGAAGTTGTAGGACAGACAAATCTAATATATAGCAATAGAAATCAGAATAGTGGCTGCCTGTGGTGGGTATTGACTGGGAAAGGGCATGAGGGAACCTTTTGGAGTTATGGTTATGGATACGTTTATATTTATTTTCTTCATCTGAGTGGTGGTTGCAGGTATGTACACGTGTACACGTTCATCAAACTCTGTGCTTCACTTGTGTGTACTTTACTGTATGAAAATGATCTCTTAAACAGGATAACAGATATAGAGTATTTATCACCAGACCTGTCCCAAACAGGACACTCAGAAAGCACCGTTTCTGCCTTGATGTCCTTGCGAACATGCCTTTTTGTGAGATGGGCCATTTCAGTATGAGAAGACTGATAGGTGCCATTTGTTCCCTGATAGTTTGTGTTCTGGGAATAACTGGAACATAGTTGCTCAGTCGGGGGACGTGCTTGAGAAGCGTTTTCCTCTGATGGATCTTTTTCTCTCCCTGCCCCCACCCCTCCACTCCACCCTCGGCTCCCACCCACCCTGTTCAGGTTACGCGGTGACTGCCGGTCACTTCTCTCACCCGTCCGCCACCGACGTGGTAGGGGGTGCTCCGCAGGATGAAGGCATCGGAAAGGTGAGGAGGAAGGTGTATGGAATAGCATGGGTCAGGCGGAAGAGGGGAATGTGCTGCCGCTGTTGTAGAAGTTTGCCAGCTTGCTTTGATCTGAATGTTCTCCGGGGTGGCTGGCGGGTAAGTGCTGACGTAATGAGGAACTCCCTGACCGTCTCCTTGCAACCACTGTTAAGAGTTTACTTTGGCAGCTTAATCGGAGTGTGAGTACTACCCTCAGGCCTCTTCATTCTTTGTACATTCTCATCTGAGGTTTTCTACACTGACTCTGTGTGTGTGTGTGTGTGTGTGTGTGTGTGTGTGTGTGTGTGTGTTTGTGTGTGTGTGTGATTTTTTAAGACTGACACCATGGCACCCACCAAAGGAATGACATCCAGGGCCTCCAACTTCAAATCCCCCTTCCCCTAGTCCCTTCCCAAGTTTGACTTTGACTTAATGGAGCCAAGTCCAATCCTAGGTCTTTGGGGCTTTATGTTATACCTAGATTCTCATTTTTATTTCCCCAATGTTTTAGAAGCAGCATTGGGTTCCCAAGGCTGGTTTAGCCCAAAGGCTGGGCTATGTGAAATATGTGGGCCTGGCTTTCCCTAGTGCAGGGGTTAAGAACTTGGCTGCTAATCAAATGGTCGGCAGTTGGGATCCACCAGCCACTCCTTGAAAACCCTATGGGGCAGTTCTACTCTGTTCTGTAGGGTCGCTATGAGTCAGAATTGACTTGATGGCAATGCATTTTTGGGGGGGGGGGGGGCGGGTGAGGAGCTTTCCCTAAAGTATTCTCTCCAGAGTGCAGAAAAGACCTCATGGATGTAGAGCTAATCTGAATCCCTTCTGGAATTGTGACCTCTAAAGAGCCTTGGTGGCACAGTGGTTAATAGCTTAGCTGCTAACCAAAAGGTCGGCAGTTTGGGTCCACCAGCTGCTCCTTGGAAACCCTATGGGGCAGTTCTACTCTATCCTATAGGGTCGCTGTGAGTTGGAGTCGAACTGATGGACAGGTTTGGGTTTCTGGTTTGGTAAGAGGACTGAAGTGTGAACAGCTATGCTTGTTCGTTCTTTAGCTTCAAGGTACAGGCAACCCAGACTGAGTAGGTCCAATGAGTGAAGAATTTGCATTCCTCACAAACTCTCCAGCTTGTCTGATGGGAAAGCCTGAACAGAGGAGTAATCTTTGGATCTGAGCCCTCAGAGATGGTCATGACAGAGTCTGACCCTATCTCCTGGGGCGCAGCGAAGTGGAGTCTGGATTCTGGAAAGGCCCAGATGGCCTGAGACCATTGTTAATTGGAGCCTTCAGCCAGTATGTCAATATGATGAGGGAGCTAAGAAGCCATCCAGCTGACTAGGCTTGACTGCGATACGTTCATAAGACTCAGTTCCCTGGTTCCTCCTGGGCAGGAGTTAGGACCTGCTGTGCACATTTCTGGAGTCCGTGGGTGGAGCAAACAGTTATTGTGCTTATCTGCTAACCAAAAGGTTGGAGGTTCGAGTTCGCCCAGAGGCGCCTTGGAAGAAATGCCTGGTGATCTACTTCCATTGAAAACTCTGTGGAGCGTAGTTCTACTCTGACACACATGGGGTTGCCATGAATTGGGGCCACCATGATTTGGGACCACCATGAGTTGGGATCATCATGAGTTGGGGTCTCCATGAGTTGGGGCCACCATGAGTTGGGATCTCCATGAGTTGGGGTTGCCATGAGTTGGGGCCACCATGAGTTGGGACCACCATGAGTTGGGGTTGCCATGAGTTGAGATCACCATGAATTGGGGCCACCATGGGTTGATGTCACCATGAGTTGGAGCCACCATGAGTTGGGGTCACCATGAGTTGGAGCCACCATGAGTTGGGGTGCCATGAGTAGAGGTCAACTTGTTGGCAGCTGATGGTGGTGGTTCACATTTCTGGAGCACGTGCCTCTTTCCCCCCTAATGCTAATGCTCTAGAGAAAGACTCTAAAAACAAAAGCAAATAAAGCCAGGGCACTGAGCCGCGGGGAGGTGTGCAGACGAACTCTGATAACTTCAAGAAAGAGGTGGGTCTTTCCTAGCTGCATGAATTCCTCTATATGGTGGAGAGGAAAAACACCGAGGGCTTTACCCACACTGATGTGTCGTCTTGAGGAGGAACTGCAGGCTACAAGGCATCTCTGTGGTTTGGGGGAAAACGCTTAAATTCCAGTTCACAGCTATGTGGATGCATCAGTGCTGACAGTATCAGCTTTGTTTTCTCATTAATTGCAGAAAACTCAATCTAATTTTATTATTTTCCCTTCAGATGGTTGTAATGACTGGCTAATCCTTGTCAAGTCTTAAGATTAGAATGGTGTTTATAACTGACAGAGCCCAGAAGAAGGAATCTGTATCCAGTTAATAAAAAGGAACATGAGAACGTTTCTCTTGGTTGGACCACAGGAGAGGGGCTGGGAAAACTGGTCGTAGTTGACAAAGTCATGACTGCTCCACATTCCCAGGAACTGTGGCTGGTACACTTGATTCCCAAGGACCCCAGGAGGGACCCTAGGCCTTCAGGATTTTGATGATTATTTATTTCTGGTGACAGGGCATGAAAACAGCCGCACTAAGATGGCAGCCACCCTACCTCATGGGAAAGCTCCTTCCCCTGGTTCCCATAAGATGCAGCTTGAAAAAGAAGTTCCATAGTCAAGTAAATTTAGGAAGTTCTGCATAAATGGAGATTCGTGGTGTAAATGAGCATATTAAAGGTTCTTAAAAGTCTCACAGTAAAGAACTTTATTTTATGTTGCTTAACCTGACCTTGACACACATCCCATGACACTGATATTCTGGGGAGTCACTTTGGCAAACTGTGCTATCTAAAGGACTTGCCTTGTGATAACTGTTTAAGTCTTAGTTAATAGAAATGCAGGTGGACATATTTCAAGAAAGAAAATAATTTGCTTTTTCCAGGGGTTGAATTGTTTACTGACTATCTGGAAGCTTCTTGGGTCTTACTGTGCATGGCTTCCAAAAACAATGTGGCCTAGGAACCGTGGAAGTGACCCTCATCTCAGGATTGAAGGGCACTCTGCAGGGTTGGTAAAATGAGTTACTCTGACATCTTCGTTTTCATCAGCCCTCATAACCATACCTCCTGCTGCCTGCTCTGGTGTATAAGTAGGATTCCCAGGAGGATGCTGATAAATATCTTTGGTCATTGTTTCCATCCTAACTAGATTTTTTTTTTTTTCATTCCATAGGTTTATATTTTTAGAGCTGACCGAAGATCAGGCACCTTAATTAAGATTTTTCAGGCGTCAGGTAAAAAGGTGAGATCCTTGGTATAAGTGACTGTTTTCTGTTGAAGGGGTGTGGGAGTCAGTTCTTCATATTTAGAGGATTGGTTTAAAGGTCTTAGCTGTGGCCTATGTGTATATGATGGTTCTGTCTGCACTTGGGGGCCTCACCTTCTCAACAGTGAGTATAATCTGCAGGTCCGTGGGGTTCACTCCTGCTTGTTTTAGGAAATGTCATGTGGCTAGATGAGTTTGTCCATGGCCAGGTTACAGCACCGAGTTTCAGAAGATTGTCCATAGTTCAGACACTGGTGTCAAAAGTTCTACATGTTCCGCTACTCTCCCTCTCTCTGCCTTTGTCCATCTCTCTGCCTTTGTCTCACGTCATTATCTGTCTGTCTCTCGTACGTACACATCCGTACCTCCAGAGGGATCGTATACAGTTATTCATGTAGCAAACCTACTCCTATAAGCAATGACTTTCAAAGGGGACAAGTGGTTCTCAGTGTCCCTGTCTCACCAGCCCGACGCCACCCTCTTCCCCCTTTGTCCTGGGCCCTCTGCTGCTTTTGCCATGGGAAGGCTGTCAAACAGAGGGAAACCAACCGGTCTGTCACCCAGTTCTTCTTAGAACTTTGGAACAGAAATTTCCCGAGGAGGCGGCCCTGAAGTGGGTCCTGGGCAAGGCTTATCGGCCTGTACGGCCCCCACCCTATCCCTCATTCCCTCCACGCCCTACAGGTTTCCATTACACCGCAGCAGGGTTGCTGCCTGGAGTTAAGTCTGTTCGAGAGTCTTCTGATTTATAAGCAGCATTTTTGTTGGACTAACAAGCGCATGCACCTCAGTGTGGCTTAGATTAATAGGATTGTTTAGCTCGGATGGCTGCTGTGAGGGGAGGGGAGGGAGGCGATTTGGGGGCTGACAATTTTAGAGGCTGGTCTTGGTGGACTCTGAGAAGACACACAGGACGCCTGGGATTTGGGGAGGGAAACGCCTGAAGACAGAGAATGCTGGAAGAAAAGTGGTTTTATCTACCACTAGCATGGGAAAAGGGAAGAAATGATGGTTTCCTTCCTGGGTCGCGTGGCCCTGGTCCCGGTCCAGTTCCTGTTGTGAGTCAGACCTGCCGTGTACCAGCCTGGGACCATTACGCATTCATGGCGAGCAGTATTCTCAGTCCCGGAAGTCCCACTCGCAGATGAACCTTTTTGCACCTTAGTGTCCCCTCTTGGTGTGCAGTTGCTCTCATCTTTTCAAGGTAAGAAAACGCATCACCAGGCCCAGTTTTGTGCAGTGTTTTCCTGAACTGGTCTGTGTTCCCCTGAGAGCTGTCCTGGCCTGTGTTATTTTAACATTTCAGAAGCTCCAAAGCAAGTAACACTGGAAAATGACTGGGCGATTCTGCAAAAAACAGTTTTCCAAGCACCTCTAAAGTGAGAAAAGAAATAGCTCCACGCCATTTGTGATGAAAAAAGAAGGAAAAAAAGTTCCAAAGAGCAAGTAGGGTTTGAGTGTGGCTAAGCTGGACGTTTTAGGTCTTTTCTCTAAAACACCGTAAGCGGGCGAGTGTGTCTGCGTAGGCCCCTCCCCTCTGCCCCGCTTCAATGACCTGGGCCCGAAAGCATAAAGCTCAGGCACCCTGGCCCGTGTGGATGGTGGAGCTGGAACGAACCTGTCCCGCTACTTACGGGACAGCTTTGTGCTCAGTTGTCGCTGTGCTCCCAGCCTTCCTCCTCCTTCCCCCTACTGCACTCCCTGCTGCCCGTGTTTGGGGCAGGCCTCGTATGCGCCTGCCATTCTGGCGTAATTAATAATTGCATAATCGTGCCGGCCCTCCTTCTCAGAAACCTCCCAGTGTGGATACCTTACCTGGCCACGTACCCGGTGCCCAGAGCTCGGTCAGACGTGACAGGAGTGGAATCAGGTAAACATTTGAGAACCCACTTGTCCAAACTTCCTGAGGACTTTATGCCGTCAAGTTCCAGGACAGACGAGTCTGAACACAACCAGCAAGCTGTGTCTGGGGCTCTCTGAGGACGGGACAGAGGGCCCAGGTGTCTCAGTTCACAGCTCTATAGCAGTATGGACTTTATCTTCTTTAGGACGCTTCCTGCCCTCACTTGGCACCGTTCCGTGGCTGCCTCCCACTCTTGGACCCCTTGACTTCACTTCCTTCCACTAGTGTCTCTTGCTAGCGTTACCCCCTTGTCATCTTTTGGATTTTGAAATAGGCTGCTCTCTTTCTCTGTATATCTGATTCTGCTTTTGGCCAGAAGAAGTGGGAAGTTCTTGGGGAATAGGTCACCCTTCTCTGACTTCTCTATTGTCTCCTAAGGAAAGGAGACAATTTTCAATTGAAAATTTTCGATTTTCTCATCTGTAGAATGACTCCAGGCTTCCAAAGGATGCTTTAGCTTTACTTCTGTATCTATGAGGAAGGTTCTAACTCAGCAAATTGCCGTCCACTTCTGCTTTTTGGCTAGAATTTGGTCAGATAGTTGTGGCTTTGCCTTTAGGGAAAAAAAAAAAGCAAGAAACATTTCCAGTCTTTACTGGTAGATACGCTTCATACAGTACACTTGAGAAGTTACCACCACGTGTGCAGCTTGGATGTTAATACAGACACATGTTCCCGCGCTTCTAGGCTGATAGGAGCACTCACCCCAAAGTGTGTCATTGCTACACTGAAGTTTGACTGAATTAACTGAGTATGTGAAGTGTTTGCATATCAAAACTTAGATAGGAAAATTCATGTGCAGGAGTTTCTGATAGAACACTGATAAAGAAGCCAAGTTAAATAGCCCACTGGAACGAAACGAACAGTTCCCTTGGGGCTCAGCCAGAGAGAGCTGCCTGCGGCTTCGTTTTGGGGCTTTGCCTGCATCTTACCCGCTTCCTTCACCAAAGCAGCAATGAGAGGATTGGCAAGGCCCCCGGATTAGTGGCCGGCAACTTGGTGTCCCCCCACCATAGCAGTTCATTCTAAACCCTCCCTGTGCCCTTCTGCCTTGAGAATGGGTGGGGTGATGGTGTTAGAGGGTGGTTTGAGTAGAGGTGGCCTGGGCATGTCACTAGGGAGGGGTTTCTCAGCGGCCACTTCAAAGTCCTCTTGCCCCAGGGTGAGCTGCAAGAAATCAGCTGAGTGTCCTCCACCTCTCTCAGACTCCCCTGGGTCAGCTGCCAGCAGTCCAGCACTCAAAGCGAATGCTTGTTCGTGTAAGTCAAACCAGAGCCCTTTCATTTGAAGCCATGTATTTTAAAAGGATAGTTGTTATTTATGTGTGTTTTAAATAGAGATTGCAAACTGACAGCCTCTAGAAGGGATATATAGCTTACAGACACTTTTGTTTGGCCCGCACAGTACTTGTTTATTTGTTATGACTTTTAAATATGAGTCAGTTGCCAACATTTAAAAAATAGGCAATTCAAATAAAATTCTAGATTTTGGGCTTCTCTAAAATATGGGAAGGTGGGCCCGCTCTGGGTCAGCCTTCCTCATAGCACCAGTGGCTGTGGTGAAGCAGGAGCTGCTCCTTTAGCTGGGCCTCTGAGTCCCAGTTTGCCACAGTCTTCACCGCCCCCTATTGCTTTGTAGACACCAAGCGTCATGTGCCGCCTGTAAACACACTTACACTGTTGTTTCTGTTTTTCTTGTATCTGTTCCATCACCTGTCTGACTCTGTAGGGGTTTGTGTTTGCGACCCCTGATTTAAAATACTACCTACTGGATTATGCAGTGATGAAAGAAGGGCTGGTCTCAACCTGCTCCGTCCCCTCAGCAGTGGGACGGTCTCATGAATTATACGCTTTTCTGTCCTTCCAGCTCGTGCCTTTTTAACTGATCTTTAGGTGTTTAGAGGGCTGGGAGAGGGTAACCCATTTCCCACTGTGACGTTTATTTTCATGCCTGGCTTGGATTGTGAAATGTCATATCCAGCTTGCTTGACCTGGTCAGATGTCTGATATCCAGAGAGGGACTTTTATTAGGGTTGTAACCTGTATGTGCAACTTCTGCTTGTGTTTTTAAAAATAGCACCTCATTCTTGGGGGCTCGGGCCTTGTCCTGTCCTTGATGTGGCTCCAGGGATGGGACCCCTGAGCCGGTGAGCCCTGGTCCCACGTGGGTTGCAGACTCTGCACTGCTGCTGGAGGCCCGGGGAAGTTGAGTATTTCACCGTTTGCCCAGGCATCCTGGCTTATGGGGCGGTGTGGCCACCATGGCCTCCGAGGGGCTCGAGAGCAGATGTGGTAGCGCCAGCAGGCTGGAGGAAAGCAGACCCCTTGTGAGCGGGCAAACACTGAATGCTTGTCATGACTTGGTTGTAGATGGGCTCTTACTTCGGCTCCTCCTTGTGTGCAGTGGACCTGAATGCAGACGGCCTCTCCGACCTGCTGGTGGGGGCCCCCATGTTCTCTGAGGTCAGGGATGAGGGGCAGGTCAACATCTACATCAACAGAGGAAATGTGAGTACAGGGCTATGCAGGGTGGGGACGGGGAGGGGGCGTTTGTCCAGCAAGCAGCTGTGCATGGGGCCATTACCCAGGGGACATGAGAAAAACACGGTTGCCATCTTCAAGAAGCTCAGAGTTCCATTAATGAAAAATTATGAGCAATGTTATAGCCACATTCAAACAGGGGTCAGGAAAAATCTTACTGACTGCGCGTGCATGCACCCAGGGACTGCGCCTCTTGCTTCCTGTGAATGATTTCAATGTAATGTGCACATGGTATGAGGGATCCCCATTGTACAGGTGAAAGAACTGAGGCCCAGAGAGGTTAAGTAACTGGCGCCAAGTCACACAGCTAGGAAATGGTGGGGCTGGGATTTGAACCCAGGCAGGCTGGCTTCGGGGCCAACACTCTTGGGCTGTAGGTCATGCTGCCTCCCTAGGAGCGTCCCTCTGCCCAGGAAGGGAACTAGAGAAGTCTTCCCAGAGGAATCTGGAAGAAGTAAGAGCTAGGCAGACAGGGAGGAGGCAAATTACAAGCACCTGTAGGCACCCTGGAGCCCTGGGGGTACGGTGGGTAAGAGTTTGGCTGTGAACCAAAAGGACGGCAGTCTGAATCCACCAGCTGCTCCTTGGAAACCCCATGGGGCAGTTCTACTCTGTCTGATAGGGTCATTATGGGTCGGAGTCAACTCAACGGCAGTGGGTTTGGTTTTTTTTGGTGTTTGGTAAGCACACTTGCAATGTTATTTACTTTTTCTCGTACCTGCTGCCTCACCGGCCCGGGTCCCATAGGTCTCTGGGTTGGAGACTCCTGGTGGTGCTGGGATCAGAACAAGAGAGCCTTATTGTTCAGCATGATGGGGCCGGGGGCTGGGTGGGGACGGATGACGTGGCGAGGGCTGTAATCACGATACCCCTTGTCCTGCGTACTGAGGTCCATTAGGGCAGAGCTTTAAGGAGGATGTGGGGGATCAGAAAGACGTCTCTGCACCCCTGCAGCCCGGGGGGCGGGCAGGGAGAGCAGCCCACCTGCAGAGCAGGGAGACGGGTGAGAAAGAGTCTTTTCAGGGTCTGGAAGTCAGAGTGTTCAACCAGGGGGAAATGGTTAAATGCGTCAACTCTGGCCCCACCAGACCTTTAACTAATGTGAGAAATGCTTGTGAGATAGTGAATGAAAAACTAGGATCAGCACTGCATGTGCCCACAGCCTTTACAAACCTGGAAAACGCGCACAGTGTGAGTACCGATACCTTCGGGCCGTGGGACCAGGGTAGACTTATAGTTTTATCTTTATCCAAATTGTGAAAATGTAATACTTCCATGATCAGGAAAAAATCAGTAAAAGTGTATTTTTAATCAGCAACCAAGATTCTAGTTATTCCAGTGGGGGGACGGGGAGGGGATGGTGTTTAATTATAACGAGGCAGGCAGGTGCCAAAAAGAAAGCCAAGGGATCTAAAGAAGGGCCAGTGAACCGGAGAACCCTGTGCGGCTGTGCTGCTGGCAAACCCATCGAGAAGCTGGATTAGAGCCGGGAGGGAAGACGCTGTTTGGTTCTTTGTGTGTTTGTGTTTGGGAAGATGTTCTTGGGCACCAGAGGACATGAAGTGACTCGTGGCACCTGTTGCAGTGACTCCTGGCACTTGTACCCCGACTGACCTTCCAGGCAGGGGACCGGGAGGGGCATGGGGAGAAGCAAGGGGGCCGTGATGGAGATGAGAACAACAGGCGTTCAGCGATGCGGGCCAGTCCGAAAGCCTCCTGCTGGCCATTCTATTTGTAGGGGATGGAAACATTTGCCCAGGTGTTCACTTCTTTGAGGCTACAAGGTGACATGCCCAACAGTGTGTCTAAGTCGGGGGTAGCATTCTGGAAAATGATAATCCCCCTAGACTGTCTCTGGGTACATTGCGCCCATATACCTCCCCCCCCCCGCCTCAATTTGCTAATTCTGTGTGGTTGCCCTAAGTACCAGACTGTTCTTATGTCAGTTGAACCTCATCCTGTTTAATTAATGATGGCATGGCAGCCTGGAGGAATGGAAAGAATGGTGACTTTGGGGCCAGTGGACCTGAGTTTGAATCTTGGTTCTGCCACCTGCTGTCCTGTGTGATGTGGACACATAGCTTGACATCAGTGACTCAGTTTTCTCATCTGTAAAATGGGGGGAGTAATAAGGTCTCCTTCAGGTTGCGTGGTTTAAACAAGCAGAGGAGTATACAGTGCCTGGTGCATGCAAGGCGTCGGCTGCTGCTGTTTCTCTTCCCCACCACACTAATAGGAGAAAATCAACATATACGTTTGCGTTGTGGGGTGGGGGTTTCCCTGACCCAAGGTAGCATCACATCCTTATACTGTTTGCAAGTTGCAAGTTGTATGTGTTTTAATGAAAAAGAAGATTTGGCCACGACACAAGCCAAGCTCTCCCTGGGATGGCCTGTGGGTGAATGGTGGGTCCAGAGTGCTTCTACACCGGGCAGGCTAGAGTACTCTAGACCCTGAAGCATTGGGTTGCTTTTGAACGCCCTGAGAGTCACGTGTGAATGACTTGGGGGTAGAGTGGGTATGCTCAGACGCCTTTATTGCCACCATGTACCAGGGACCCTACACCAGGGACCCTTTCCTTGCGTCCGTGGGCGTTTGCTCAGGAAATTCAAACTTGAGGTATGCATAGTAATAGGCATCATCATGTACACCTCCCCAACCCCTGGCCAAGAACTATGGGGTGTTTTGGATTTTTCTGAACCATGGCTCCATCTCTCAAGATTACTAATCCATAAAACCCATTGCTGTCGGGTGGATTCCGACTTACAGCAACCCTGAAAAACATCTTTATAAACTTGTACCGAAAGGCACAGGGGGAAAGACCACAGAACAATGTATACCCTTTTAAAACCACTTTAGATGGGGGGGAAATGGTATACTGTAAGGAAAGCTGAGGACCCGGCTGATTGCTTGGCTTGTTTTTCGAGTATTATGACAAGGGGAGGTTTAGTCACTGGCCAGCATGACACATTCCTTCCCGCTAAAGCACATCCCAGCTGTTGGGGACCCTCGTGCTTCATAGGTAAACGGGGCTCGTTTCGCACCAGGAGAGAGGAGTGGGGTGGGGGCTGTGATTCTGCCCGGGTGTTTCCTGTCAGTGGGTGCGCGCTAGGAGGGCAGCCTCCTGAGCTCTGGTTTTTTATTGTGGTGTTGGTTTGTTCTGTTTGTTTTCCGTTTTTCCTCCATCCTGTTGACCAGGGAGCCCTGGAGGAGCAGGTGGCCTTGACCGGGGACAGCGCCTACAACGCTCACTTTGGGGAGAGCATCGCCAGCCTGGGTGACCTCGATGATGACGGGTTCCCAGGTCAGTGCTTCCCTCCTAGTGTGGGCAGCCCCTGGGGTATAGGAACCGCCCCGCTGCGAACAGCAGCCTGGCCTCTCACGCTCCTCGGAAGGTGCTTCTGGATCAGCCCGCCAGCGCCGGCCCGGTCAGCGTGCTCTCAGGGAAGCCGTTCTCCATCTAGATGTTAGGGCTGAGCTCGGAGCTGCTGGAGCTGTTTCTGTGCATCCTTTCTGCTCGGCTCACCGGTCTTTGCTATGAGTTTGGGGTGGAAGTGAACCTTGCAGCTGGTCCAGCGGGAGCTTCTTCTGGCAGAGAAGTTCGAACCAGCTTCCTTTCTCCTCAAACTCTTTCTTGCTTCTGAGCCTCTGACACGCCACCACCATGTCGTTTGTGAAATGAGTGAGGAGCCAATTAGACATTTTTCTCCCCTTGTGATGATACGGTGTTGGGTTAACTTTTGAAGTGGGTTGTGCATCTGTCTGTCTGTCTTTGGACAGCAGTATCCTTGTCAGCCTCTTTGCTTCTCTCTCTGGTCCGTGTAATGGCTCCTTCTCTCACTGTTTGAGCAGTATACAGACATCGGAACTTGTGGGAGCCACCTCAGCAGTGTTGGGGATGACTGAGGTGGGAGACAGCTGGGGGGCAGCTCTTGGCTCCTTTGATACCCTCAGACCGTTGGGCAGAGAGCTTCCTTCAGACAGTGAGGGTCTCCACCTTGAGGTTGTGTGGGTGCCATGCCCCTCACCCTTGACCTCATTTCTGCAAGCACGTGACTTCTTTCAGCTACAAAAGGAAAAAAGTAAGGAAGCTGGAAGCATTGTTCCAGGACTTGTCAGCCTGTGAGAGTAACATTTATTTTCTTGGTGGATTGAGTGCCATTCAGTAAATTGCCTTTATCCAGGAACTGAGTTGACTTCCTCAGTTACTCAGTAATCATCATCTAGGGAATTCAGTTCTCTGACAAGACAGAAATTAGGGTGGGTGGTTTAGATTTGCATTTCATTTATTGGTTGGGTCATTGATTTTTCCTATGAGGAAGAGATCGAAACTTCTCTGGAACTGAAACTCTTCTCAGCTTCTCTATATTTTCTTTCTACCTAGTTTCTTTCTGCTACGAGACCATGTGCCTAATTTAGTGATTGAATAATCAACAACCAAGAAACTTCTGGTATTGAGGGACTCAGGCATGATAACAGGAATTAGGACACGGCCCTTATATTTTCCCACGTGGCTTTTCTAACCCATAGCTGTTTGTCTCCCCTCAGATGTGGCCATTGGTGCACCCAAGGAAGACGACCTTGCGGGGGCAGTGTATATCTATCATGGTGATGCCGGTGGGATGGTCCGTCAGTACTCAATGGTAATTGATGTGAGAGTGACATGGAAGCTGTTTGTCCATCCATTCATTCCACAAACATGTAACAAACTTCCACTATGTACCAGATCCTGGGGGTACGTAGAAGACACGTGGCTCCTGCCTTCAGCCTGCTCTCCCTCTAGTTACCAGATACCAACCGTTGGTATTGTTGATTAAGCACAAAAACTCAGCCAGTGGAATCCTGAATTTGCTCACGGTCTTGCTTCTGCCTCCAAAGGCTGTGTCCAAATTTGTGCCATCCAGAGTAGAGCTATTTGTGTAAGAAGACCAGGCTTTCTTTTCTCGGTTACTCCTTCGAGTTCAACCCTCTGTGCTAGGGCAAAGGAATATGATTTAAAAAATCTAATCTAGAGAGGCAGTGGGCCATAAAGGAGAGGTCCTTGTCACGAGGATGTTGTCCCACTTGGCATCAAACAGAGGAGCTCATCAAAGCTCTGGCCTTGCGACCCAGACTGGGGAATATGGAAGTGGTAAGCTCTGTTTTTTGCCATATCAGCTTGGTGTTCAATCTTGCTGATGGTGTCAGGCCTAGCCCATGGGAAAAAAGGAAGTCACACTCTTGACAGAAATGTATCATCAGCATATTTGTGGACGTCTGTATCTAGAGTGGAACAGGCCCATGTCTTTCTCCCAATGGGTCCGTGACAAAAGACGGCTGAGCACCAATTGAGAAATTCTCAATCAGCAAATATTTACTTATTGAACACTTACTGTGTGCTAATCACTTCCCACTCATGTTTATGCTTCTCATCGCAAAGACGCTTTGCTTAAACACAAGCTCCTTATCTTGGTTATTGCCAAGGAAACAAAACTTTTAACTGAGTCTTGTTTTCAGCTATAAAATGAAATAGTGGTAAAGTATCAAACCCTGTTCATATACCAAAGTTTCTGGGTAAGATAAAAGACTCGGTTTACAAGTTAATTTTCAGAAGCAGTATATAAACTTAAGTACAGTTTACACACTCTTAAAATTGTTCTTCTCCACAGCAGACGTAAGTTGGCTGATTAAAGGTTGATGGTGGGTGGGTTGGTTGGTGGGTGGGTGGGTTGGCTGGTTTGTAGGTTGATTGGTGGGTTGGTTGGGGGGTTGGTTGGGAGGTTGGTTGGTTGGGGGGTGGGTTGGTTGGGGAGTTGGTTGGTTGGTGGATTGGTTGGGGGGTTGGTGGGTAGGTTGGTTGGTGGGTAGGTTGGTTGGTTGGTTGGTTTGTAGGTTGGTTGGTGGGTTGGTTGGTTCGTTGGTTGGTTGGTTGGTGGGTTAGTGGGTTCGTGGGTGGGTTGATGGGTGGGTTGGTTGGTGGGTTGGTGGGTGGGTTGGTTGGTTTGTAGGTTGGTTGGTGGGTTGGTTGGGGGGTGGGTTGCGGGGTTGGTGGGTAGGTTGGTTGGTTGGTTGGTTGGTTGCCAGCGGAGCTTTGGGTTCCATCACTACAGGTACCTCCTGCTCAGCTCAGTGTCCCGCATACAAGATGCAAGTACTTAGGCAGCTGCTGGCCAAGCTTCCTGAGTGCTTACTCTGCCCTTTTTTCATACCTGTAATCCTCACAGCAGCCATGTGACATGGGCACATTTACTGTCTCCCTTCTGTCTGTGAGGCGGATTTGGCCACCAAAACCAAACCTGTTGCCGTCGAGCTGATTCCAACTCCTAGCGACCCTACAGGACAGGGTAGAACTGCCCCACAGGGTTTCCAAGGAGTGACGGTGGATTCAAACTGCAGGCCTCTTGGTTAGCAGCAGAGCTCTTTAACCACTCAGGGGCGTTATTTCACGTGCCCAAGGACAACTGCTAGTGAGTGGCAGTGTGGGCGTTGAGACTTTGTTGGTCTGACTCCCCAACCTTTTATCGTAACCACCATCCTCACCTCCGCGTTGGAAAAAGGAACACCCAAGGAATCCCAGTGGGAGAACTTAGAGGGGACACGTAAGCTTGGGGACCTGGGTGGTTCAGTGCTAGAATTCTTGCCTTCTGTGCAGGAGACCCAAGTTTGATCCCCAGACGATGCACCTCATGCGCAGCTGTCACCCATCTGTCAGTGGAGGCTTTTGTGTTGCTATGATGCCGAACAGGTTTTAGTGGAGCTTCCAGATGAAGACAGAGTAGGAAGAAAGGCCTGGCGATCTACTTCCAAAATGGAGCCAGTGAAAGCCTTTGTGTCCCAGTGTTCTGATCCACAGCCAGTCACGGGGACACCGGACTGAGAAGGCAGCCTTTCATCCCATGGTGCATGGGGTCGCCAGGATTTGGGGGCCAACTCATGGCAGCTGACGACAACAACAAATGCGAACTTACTGCACCATGAGGCATACTCGGAGGGGTGTTTATCGACATTAGGAATAAATAACAAAAATAAGTACCAGTGGGAGTGGCAGACTCCTAGGTACTTCGTCTGTGGCAGGAGGAGCAGGCTTAGGGCACACTTTGGGGCACATCCGTGTCACAAGAGCTGCACTGTTTTGTCAGGGGCACTCTTCCTAGGATGACAAGCTGCAAACCATTCAGAGGGCCGGTCCCCGGGCAGCGTGACCAGGCCGCACCCAGGGTCATCCTGCACGCATCCTCCTGGAAGCTTGCTCCCGGCCCTCGGAAGCTAACCACAGAGAGGCAACCTGCGTGGGACTGTTCCCTCCTCCCCAGACCCTCCAGTGTTTTGTTTTGTTGCTGGGTGGAATCCCTGCAGAGAACTAAAGTATAAATTGTGTGGTTAGCGTTGAGTGTCCGTAGTAGGAAGCAAGGCTCAGCAGCTGGAACCATCCTGCCTTCGTCAGCACGCAGGCTGGCCCGCGTGCATCCACAGAGAGAAGTGGTTTTGTGCTCTTAAAATAAAAAAAAAAAAAAGAAAACCACCACCCACAAAAACCTGAAACAGCTTTGGTTATACTTTGCCGAGCTGCTAACAGGCGTATGATAAGGTCAGTGATTTAAAAGGGAGAAAGAATCCTTTAATTCTGCAGGACCCGGGTCCTGGGACAGAGCGGGCTTTGTGTGGGTGAACTAGAGGAAGGAATCTCTGGTTCCAGAAAAAATCTCTGAGCAGCGCAGTTGCTTTTCTTTGGCCCAGATTGGTATTATTTCTGCTGGATAAATAATGAGATGAGGACTTCCACTTCTTCCACATTAGTCTTTAACTCTTTGCTCTTTCTTGCATTTGCCGTGAAAAGTGTCGATTTTAAGAGTCTCATGTGCCTTTCTCAGTTGGAAAGCCCTCTGGGCGTGTGCTGGCGGCCCCTGTGATCTTTGTCCTACCAGGAGGGACATACATACAAACCTGGTCTGGCTGAGGCTTTCCGAGGCTCCTGGTTTTCATTAGGGTTATTAGTGCTAAGCAGACTTATCTTCCTGACTTTATAGCATAATGGCCTGCAGATGTCTGCGGGATAGCTTAATCCTGCATCACCACCCCCAAATGGACCACCCCTTCACTGCAACCCCCTTGTCCCAGCCTCAGCAGAGCTGAGAAACACAGTCCAGGGCAAACTGCTGCGCGCCTTCTTGCACTTCTACTTCCGAGCATGGTTTTGAAGAAAATAGGCAGACACACACGTTTGTTTAGCAGAGCCGTGTGGGATGCAGGGCACTGCCCATTAGCAAGAAATCTAAATCTCTTCAGTGTTTCTTATAGTGTTCCAGTTAGCGCTTTGATGCCCTGCACATATCCTGCTGGAAGGCTTGACTGAAAATGGCGACCCTCTCAGATCATTTCTGGAAGGACCATTTACCGTTACAGGCTTCTGGGGGTGGGAGTGTGGCCCTGGTGTCTCCTGTGGGCCCCATGGAAACTCCCCATCCCCACACTCGTGACTTCTCTGCCGGATGACTCAGTAAGGAAAAGGATAAGGAAAGAGAGTCTGAAGTTCGCCCCTGAATATCTGTAAATCCTAGTTCTGACAGGGACAGAAAGCATCTCTCTAGGCGTCCACATTGAGGGTGTCAGGAGGTAAATCTCCCTGGGAAGACCATAGAGATAGAGGGAAAAGGGAAGAGGGAACAGGTCAGCTACCGGAAGATGGGACTTTTCTGACTCAGGAAGTTGGGTATCTTTGTGATACCCTTGGTATGTGAATCGAACCACGCCAATGTCGATGCCCAGCTTCAGTGTGAGGAAGGCTGGCTGTACAGCACACATTTTGGAACCAGTGCAGTGTGTACTGACATGTGTTGAACCTAATGGTGAATAGAAGGTAAGAACCAATCTGGCATGCCACACACGAGTGGGGCTGTGGACTCCAGCTGGTTGGTTGGGGTTGCATTTTAAACAGAAAGGCTGAGCATCAGATTTCTTGTTATTTCCTACAGTTTATAAAAGGTTCAGGACCAGGGAGATGTAGATTTACTAGGAAAAGGTCTTTAACCCTGTTGACGATCAGCTGCTAACCTAAAGATTGGTGGTTCGAATCTATCCAGCAACTCCATCGAAGAAGGACCTGGTGAACTGCTTCCATAAAGATTACAGCCAAGAAAACCCTATGGCACAGTTCTAGTCTGCGACACATGGGGTCTCCGTGAGTCGGAATCAACTTGATGGAAATGAGTTTGTTTGTTTGTTTTGGTGAAGCTCAGGAGCCTATAGAGTCTCTGGCTGATTTCACTGAGAGGTGGTCTCCACATGGACATTTTTTCTAGCTGGAGCCCTGGTGGCGCAATGATTAAGAGCTACCGCGAGCTATGGCTGCTAACCAAAAGGTCTTTTTCCAGCTAGGTGTGTTAATTACCTACCCATCTAGGGAGAGATCCTTTAATGAGCGCCTCTTGGGAGAGGTGTGTTAAATATTTGGTAAATGTTTGGGTAGAGAGAGATAAGGCAAGTATGTTCTAGCATCTTAGTCAGATACACCTGTGTAAAAACAGAACCTTTCCTAGAAATGGAAGTTAAACTGTGTTCATCTTGAACTTCCACATATCAAAACTTCATCACACTAGGTCGCTTTTTTCGTTTGCGCAGAACTTAGGAAAATTTGTCAATGGTGCCTTTGGCAAAGGCAAGTAATAATAAAGGAGTATGTAGCCTTCAACTGTCTGCTGAAGACAGACCCCTCTTTTCAAATTAGGACGAAATTATTTTCTTTGATAATTTCAAGACCAAGTATCCTAGGGAAGCTGGGATACAATGGCTACAGATTTTTCTTTGTGAGCGTGGTCCCTTCTGGTGACTCAGTTTCCCCGTGATCTGTTTCAGAAACTGTCTGGGCGGAAGATAACCCCAGTGCTCCGGATGTTCGGTCAGTCCATATCAGGAGGCATCGATATGGATGGCAATGGCTATCCTGGTAAGCTGTTTTCCTTTAATGTAACATGAGATGAACTGAGATCAAGTTCCAGCCTGTTGAGTCACTACATCCACTTAGGGTTAGGAAAATTCATACACCAGGATGTGAGTGTTTTGCCTGGTGTTCGATTTTAAGGAAAAAATAAGGTTGGAGTTTATTTTGGGGTTTTAAAATGATCTAATGTGAAGGGTTTAAGCTTCAGGAGGGCAGAGTTTTACAGAAATTTGTGTGGCAGTAATTCTTTCTAATGAAGATAGAAGCATTGTCCCCATTTAAAATGTAAACCTCAGAATAAAAAGCAGGAAATTTGGGACGCGTTTTCCTTGGTATTTAACCATTTTTGGAGGGGGCTTCTCACAGTTAGTAGTAAGAGGGGAAAAAAAAGCTAAGCCACACCTCCCCCACTTCACTACCAAACAAATTATTGAGAGAAAGATTTGGAGCAAGAAGAAAATCCCGTTCTCTTGCCGAGGGACAAACTGACCTCAGACAAACAGTGTAAGTGTCTTTCACCCCTCAAGGCTAGCTCGCTTGTCTTCTGGGTGAATTGATGCCTTGTGGTAGTTGAGGCTAAATGAATAAAAATATGTGATTTCAAACTCCAACCCCAAGTGATACCTGGTTTAGGTAAATTGCCCAGGCTGCAGAATGGTGGTTTTTCAGGTGTTTGAAGATGTGCGATGGGGTGGGTTGAGGAGACAAAAACAAGAATTTGAGAAAATCCAGAATCATTATGGAATTCAGAAAGAAATTTCCCTGAAAATAGAGGTCAGCTTTCCTTTGAGGAAACATCTCTTTCCACTTAAAATGCCTTGGACAGGTCTCAGGAAAAAGAATGCAATCCCGTAGGAGGGCACCAGATCTCCTAGATTCTTTTGGACAGGAGTTCTGATCATCCCTGGTGACTTTGCAGAGCCAGGAGGAGGCATGGGAACAGACGGGGCTCAGTGCTGAGGGGCTGTCCCGAGATAGCTCCTCATGGGTCTTTTTAAGTTTGAGAAGGCAGTTCTCCTTGTTCTGGGCAATTCATGGTCATCTCTAAATAATACTTTATATTGGATTAGCACTTTAATATGTGCAAATTGCTTCCATCTGCAATGTACGTCTTACAGCAAACCCAGTCGGTAGGTAGGGATGGGGGTCTTCTGCCCCCTTCATAAACAAGGACACTGAGAGGAGAAGAGGCTGACCAGAGAGAGACCCCGTCGTGGTGGGCGTTGACCCCGGCTTCCTAGTAACTCGGCTGCTTCTCTGTTAATACACGGCGGAGGTCTGCGTGCATTTCACATACGTTTCTGAGTTTCTTATGTTGGATTTTTCATAAAAGGATTACACATTCAGCAGATTTTTAAACATCTCAAATAGCAGTTTTAAAGATTATTTATGGAAGTGGCACACCTGAGTGCAGAGGGCTTAGCAGCACTGTACTCCAGGCATTTGCTCTTTGCTTTTCCTTCAGGAGGGCCTCGTACATCGGCCGTCATTTGGTGACCTGCGGGTTCGGATGCTTGATTCTGTGGAGAAGAAGCGGGAACCCCAGGGCTAAGGGATTTACATTAGGAGGAGGAAAGGCAGGAGGTAGAAGAGTCTAATGTGAGGGTTTAAGCCTCAGGAGTGTGGAGCTTTACAGAAATTCCTGTGGCAGAAATGTAGTGAGTACTTCCTAGATTAAAGGTATTTAGAAATAAGCATTATAGTGTCAGTTACCGCTGGTATCCTGGCTTATAGTTTACCAAGTGTTTTCACGAATGTTATCTGATTTAAATATTAGCTTTTGAAGACGTTTGTTGTGTGCTGTTGAGTCGTTTCTGACTCATAGTGACGCTATAGGACAGAGTAGAACTGCCCCATAGGATTTCCTAGGCTGTAATCCTTACGGGAGCAGATTGCCAGGTCTTTTCTCCGGAGAAGCCACTGGTGGGTTTGAACCACTGACCTTTTGGTTAGTAGCTGAGTGCTTAACCATTGCGCCACCGGGGCTCCTTTTAAAGAAGACACTAGGGGATAATTACCCCCATTTTGCAGACAGGGAAACTGAGAGGCTGAGTGACTCTCAGGTCGCATAGGATGCAGGGTGGAGCGGTGAGGACCCGCAAGCTCTGCAGAACCTGGAGCTTTTCCCAGCGGTCATTTAATTCCAGGTACCCCTCTGTCTGAGTGCTATCTTATAGAAATATAATGCAAATCACATATGGGATTTAACATTTTCAACTAGCCACACCAAGAAGCAAAGAGAAACAGGTGAAATTAATTTTAATTTTTTTTTGCTGAATATATCCAACATATTATCATTTCAACATATAGTCAGTATAAAACTTATTAATGAGATAGTTAACTTGTTTCGGTACTAGATTTTGAGATCCAGTGCGTATTTCACACTGACAATAGCCACATGTGAGGAGCCCTGGTTGCACAGTGGTTAAAGCACTCAGTTGCTAACCGAAAGGTCGGCAGTTCGAACCCACCAGCCACTCCACAGGAGAAAGATCTGGCAGTCTGCTTCCGTGAAGATTTACAGCCTTGGAAACCTTATCGGGCAGTTCTACTCTGTCCTATAGGGTCACTATGAGTTGGAATCGACTTGATGGCTATGGGTTGGGTTTGGTTTTATGGCCACGTGTGGCGATCAGCTGGCTGCCTTAGGGGACAGTGTGGTTCTCATTCTTACTGAGGCGTTATATAGCCAGAGAATGGCTGCAAGAGGGCTCCCTGGCCTCAAAGCGGGGCTCCTTTGCTGTAGAGCGCCTTGCCATGGGGATGGGTGGGAACAGGCTCCAGCAAGTCTCTGAATGCTGTGAACGTCTTGTTTTCAGATGTAACCATTGGAGCCTTCATGTCCGACAGCGTGGTCCTTCTAAGGTGAGAGGCTTCATTTGTGCTTCTTGGATTACGTGCTTCCTGGGGAGGGATGGAGACACAGGGGAGGTGGTCGCCATTAGTCAGCTCTTCCTCTGTCCTGTTTCCTGCAGGCAGGAGGTCCTTAGTAAGTGGGAATGCTGCTGTGTTTTCTCAGTACTGTTCCCCATCCTCCATCCACGAGTGGGGGGCTTCGCATGGCTTGCAGACAAGAGATGATCATATCCTGGGGGCTTCCAGGCAGGGTTTGGGGTGGTCTGAGCCTTAGAGGTTGTCCCCTTTGTGCACGTACAGCCCCTTCCTGCAATGTGCTATTATCTCCTCTGTGGGTGCCATGGAGCCCTGGTGGCGCAGTGGTTAAGAGCTCGGCTACTAACCAAAAGGTCGGCAGTTCGAATCCCCTAGGTGCTTCTTGGAAACCCCATGGGGCAGTTCTGCTCTGTCCTGTAGGGTCACTGTGAGTTGGAATTGACTCGATGGCAATGGGTCTGGGTTTGGTTTGGTGGGTGCCGTAACATAAAGCGGCTGGGAAACGCTGTCCTACCCCTCACTCCTGTCCCTACGCCCTGCGTCCTCACCTCATCAGCCCTAAGCACGGTCCCTAGTGGTGCCCTGACAGGGTGCACCCAACATCCCACAGACCTGGAGCTTCTGCTCGTGCCTGGTGGCAGCAGAAGTGATGGATGGGAGCCCAAACCCAATGCTTGCTGAAGTCCACGCAGCCTGGATTCTCTCCTCCTGAAGCCACTGGGCTCGCCCTCACCACCCATGAACCATCTCTGAGTGTTTCTGTCTGTCTGAGTCAGAGGAGGCAGAATTACGCCGTGGTGCGGGAGCCAGCTCTTAGGTTTTGTTAATGACCTGACCCGGAACATTCTAAAATAGAATTGTAGGATCTTAGAGCCGGAGGGGACCCTGTAGGCGTCTACTTCCACACCCCAGATTCTTCTCATTCAGCAACACCTCCTCTTGGGTCGCCACTGCGGGGTCATGCAACCTCTTCTTGGACGAGTTGTCCCTGTGCGTGGGGTTCTAACAACGTAACTTCCAGAGAACTCTAAATATTAACGTTAAATTGTCGACGAGGCAGAACAGCCTTGAGGCTAAGGGTGTGAACTCTGGGCCAGATGGCCTGGGTTCAAACCACAACCGTGCGTTTATGAGGCAAGCTTCCCGGGCAGGTCCTGTAACCTGCTTCTGGGTTCTCATCTGTTAAACAAGGTAATAACAGTTCTTAGCTCATGGGGTTCTTCTGAGAACTAAATGAGTTAATTCATATAAAATGCTTAGGACAGCGCCTGTTTTACATGCTCGGTAAATGTCAGCAGTTCTTACATAAATTGAGTTAAATTTGTCTCCCTAAAATTTGCTTGGACCCCCCGCGTGGTGCAAATGGTTAACATGCTCACCTGCTAACTGAGAGGTCGGAGGTTCGAGTCTACCCAGAGGCACCTTGGAAGAAAGGCCTGGCGATCTGCTTCTGAAACAGCAGCCATTGAACACCCTGCAGCGCCCAGTTCTACTCTGACGCACGTGGGGTTGTCACGAGTCGGCGGCATCTCAGCGGCAATTGGTGAAATTCTGCTTGCTGGTCCTGCATCGACCCAGCGGCGCTGCAGTATCTGAAGGCAGCACTGTGTCCCCAGGTGGTGGCTTGGCTAAGATAAAACCTCCCTATCGACAGAACAACCAACCGGTGACCGTCGAGTTGATTCCGACTCATAGCGACCCTACAGGACAGAGTAGAACCGCCCCATAGGGTTTCCAAGGAATGGCTGGTGGATTCAAACTGCCGACCTTTTGGTTAGCAGCCGAGCTCTTAACCTTGGCGCCACCGCCCAAGTTCCTTTAATTATCCCCCACGTGACTGGATTTTTACTTCCCTTATCTTCCTGCTCCCTCTGCGTTGTTTTTCCCTGAAGTAAAATGCCTTTCTTGGCTCCCCGTGACGGAGATTAGGCTTGTGAAGCTGGCAGCTCTTACTGTGTCTTCGTATTGTAGTTTGTACTCGTTCCGCATCCCGGGCACCTCACTCCGCTTTGTCAGGATTCCTTGTGAATAGAACACGTTCTTTGGCTTCACGTGGTTGAAAATAGACCCTCTTAAAACCAGCACTTGGCTTAAGGTGTGTCGCAGAGAATCTGGTTTCTCGTAATTCGTGTATTTTACAAACTCCTGGCTGGGAGCTCCAACCCAAGGAGGCCCTTCTTTTTCTTTCCCTTGTGGCGAGGCACGGCCTCCTCCAGAAGTTTTCAATGGCTGATTTTTCAGAAGCAGATTGCCAGGTGTTTCTTCTGAGGCAACCCGGGTGCACTCAAATCTCCGACCATTTGCAGTTGGTATAACAAAGCTTATTAAGAAAATGTTCTGCATCCCACTTTGGTGAGTGGTGTCTGGGGTCTTAAAAGCTAGCAAGCGGCCATCTAAGATGCATCAATTGATCCCAACTCACCTGGAGTAAAGGAGAATGAAGAACACCAAAGACACAAGGGAAGTATTAGCCCAAGAGACAGAAAGGGCCACATAAACCAGAGACTTCATCAGCCTGAGACCAGAAGAACTAGATGGTGCCCGGCTACCACCAGTGACTGCCCTGACAGGGAGCACAGCAGAGTGTCCTGGATGGAGCAGGAGAAAGGTGGGGTGCAGAACTCAAATTCTAGTAAAAAGACCGGACTTAATGGTTTGACTGAGACTGGAGGGACCCCAGAAGACATGGCCCCCAGACTCTCTGTTAGCCCAGAACTAAAACTATTCCCGAGGCCAACTCTTCAGACAAAGATTAGACTGGACTATGGGACAGAAAATGATCCTCGCGAAGACTGTGCCTGTTAACTCAAGCAGATACATGAGACTAAACGGGCAGCTCCTGGCCGGAGGTGAGATGAGAAGGCAGAGAGGGTCAGGAGCTGGTTAAAATGGACATGGGAAATCCGGGCTGGAAAGGAGGAGTGTGCTGTCACAGTGTAGGGAGAGCAGCTAGGGTCACATAACAATGTGTGTATCAATTTTTGTATGAGAGACTAACTTGAATGTAAACTTTCACTTAAAGCACAACAACAAAAATCCCCGACCTGTTGGTTAGCAGGTGAGCATATTAACCATTTGCAGCCCCCATGCGTGGGTGTAAGTGTAAAGTGAGGCAGCTGAAACCCTGGATGGGAGACCCCAGAGCCAAGCCTGGGGTGGAGGGTTGGCTCTGAGGAGGTGGGCATTAACAGGGACAGGTGTAAAGTCCTTCCAGGAGAGTGCTGGGGAGAGCACTTACTGAGAGAAGGGGGCCTGGGAGGAGAGTCTGGGGCACCAGGGGGCACAAGATGGTCAGCGGAAAGCTGAGAAGCACGGTCAGGGCAGGAGAGCGCAGGGGGAGTGTGCAGGGATAGCGTGACCCCAGTAGCCCATTTCATCATTTATTCAGCTAATACCCACTTACCTGCTGAGGCGCAGCTATGTTGCAGATCTTGGGGATACAGTGGAGAATGTAACAGACCTCGTCCCTGATTTATGTGCTAGCCAGAATACCAAAAACCAAACCTGTTGCCATGGAGTTGATTCCTGCTCATGGCGACTTCATGGATAGAGAGTAGAACTGCTCTATTGGGTTTTCTTGGCTGTAATCTTTATAGAAGCAGATTGCCAGGCCTTTCTTCCATGGTGCTGTTGCTTGGGTTCAAACCTCCAACCTTCAGATTAGCAGCTGATCGCAAACTACTTGCATCACCCCATTGAAACCCATTGCCATCAACTCATAGTAACCCTATAGGACAGAGTAGAACTGCCCCATGGGGTTTCCAAGGAGCGGCTGGTGGATTTGAACTGCCGACCTTTTTAGTTGGCAGCCGAGCTCTTAACCACTACGCCTTTAGCCAGGGAGAGATAAACATGTAAGTAACAGTCTAACTAATGTCGGCTAAGTGTCTGTAATATGCTAGGCACTGTGTAGGCGCTTTACGGATATTAACTCTCTTAATTTTTTTTTAATTGTACTTTAAGTGAAAGTTTACAATTCAAGTTAGTCTCTCATACAAAAATCTATACATACATTGTTATGTGACCCCTGTTGCTCTCCCTATACTGTGACAGCACACTCCGCCTTTCCACCCCGGATTCCCCGCATCCATTCAACCAGCTCCCGACCCTCTCTGCCTTCTCATCTCGCCTCCGGCCAGGAGCTGCCCATTTAGTCTCATGTATCTGCTTGACCTAACAGGCACAGTCTTCGCGAGGATCATTTTCTGTCCCACAGTCCAGTCTAGTCTTTGTCTGAAGAGTTGGCCTCGGGAATGGTTTATTAACTCTTTTGTTGTTGTTGTTTTTCCCTTTTGTATTGAGATATAATTTACATACAACGGAATGCACCAATTCAAGTGTGGTCTGATGAATTTTGACCAGTGTACCCACCTGAGTAACTGCCACTCCCATCAAAATGAAGAAGGTTTCTGTCACCCCAGAAAGCTGCTAGTTTACCCCTCCCCCAGTAGGCAACCGTTGTTCCAATTTCTAGCACTCTGGGTCAGTTTTGCCTGTTCTGGAATTTCACATAAATGGAATCATATAACGTGTGCTCTTTTGTTTCTGGCTTCCTTCACTTGATACAATGTTTCTGAGATGCATCCCTGTTGTTGTGTGTTTTCACTTGATACAGTGTTTCTGAGATGCATCCCTGTTGTGTGTTTTCACTTGATACAGTGTTTCTGAGATGCATCCTTGTTGTGTGTTTTCACTTGATACAATGTTTCTGAGATGCATCCCTGTTGTTGTATGCTTTCTGTTACTGCTGAGGATTCCATTTACTGAATATACTCTAGTTTGTTCATCCGTTCTCTTGTTGATGGAACAGATATTAACTCTTAGTCTTCTTAACAACTCTACGACGTAGGCATTTTTATGATTATTTTGTTCTTAGCTGCCGTTGAGTTGATTCTAACTCATGGCGGCCCCACGTGTGCAGAGTAGAACTGCTCCGTAGGGTTTGCTAGGCTGTGACCTTTTGGAAGCAGATTGCCAGTCCTGTCTTCTGAGGCACCTCTGCGTGGGTTCAAATCCCCAACCTTTCGGTGATCTAGCACTTAACCGTTTGTGCCACCCAGGGACTTTGTTGTTATTACTAATCAGTTTGATGAATAA